TTCAGCAAATCAAACGCGGGTAGTGTAGTACAGAAGAGAGAAGTAATGGCCAATCGAGCATGATCTGATCATCTGTGCCTAGAATCATCATATGTTATCCTCGTGTTGTATTATACTTGCCAGTGACTTCTGTGGGGAGGCAAATGTGGCTTGGAAAGTATTGAACTTTGGACCTCCTATTCTAATAGCATGAATGATTTTGTGGGACCACTGACAAATATTTTATAAGCTTAAACTGTTAAATGAATGTATGATTTATTATTTAATTATCCTAACAACTTCAATATACTGTGGATGTTATGTAACGCAAAGAAAGGTGTGGAATTCAATCAAACTATTCTCCTTGTAGAATCGTATAATACTTGCTAGTGACTTCACAGGTACATTTTACAGAGGAAACATTCAAAAGGAAGGCGAATGTTTGTTTGGATAATTATGGTGAGAGCCTTTTTCTTTCCGTCTATTTGAGCGGTCACAGCATGCACCTCCGGCAATTGTAATTCTCAAATCAAGAATGAATAAGGCCGCTTGTATGTATATATGTATGGAGTTACATGCATAGATCCCCCCCATGGGTCAATGATTACTTGTAAATTCAGTTTAGAACATTTTAGGCGAAAAGGAGCATGTCTCAATGAAAGGTCTTGACGAAAGGTCAATCATAAACTGATTCCGGATGTCATCTGACCGCAGCACAACAATAAAATTCACAAGAAAGTTCACATGCATTTGGACAAATATCTCGTGCCATTCGTTTTGCATTATTCTTTTTTTTTATTCTATTTGCATGGTCCATATACCAAATTAAATCGATAAAAGTAGAAGAACAATGTCACATGCAACCTTGTACTCTTGCTCGAAATCAAAACTCATCCTTGCACTTTTATCTCGATTCAAAGTGGTCCGCGTAGTATATCAAAGGACCATCGTTTGTCCTTTGCCAAATCCGACAACGAATTTCGTCAATATGGACTTGATGGCATTTAAAATATGCTAACTTAGACTGAGGGTCTGTTTGATAACTCAATTAAGTACTGAAATCTAAAATATTTAGCACTTAATGAGATTAAACTTGTTCAATAACCTTAAAGATGATTAAATTTATATTATTCAATTAAGTGAAAAAATCAACTTAGCCTAATAGCTAAGGGAAGGGTTACCAAACGCTTTCAAATGCTAAATAGAATTTATTGATGGTAATTAGAATCTTGTTAAATATATTGATAAGACCTACCAATAATGTTACTTTTTCTATGTTTGGTAACAGATTAATAGTATTCAACTATCAATTTCTAATTATCATCAAACAACTTTTTAATTCTATTTTTCAGCACCTAAAATCATCGATACTTAAATTTTAGGATTTAAATTTTCAACACTTTGTCAGTTTTTTTCCAAATATGCCCTAATTCGTTAGGTTTTGTAGGTAACCATCGGGTTCAATCTACGAGAGGCGTCTCTCGTGATGGGGGACTATCCTGCTCCTACGGTTTTTAATAGGCGTAGATCCACAACGTGTGCCAACCTACCCAGAAGAATGTTTAGGACTTGACCTTGTGAAATTACCAATTTACACTCTTCCTTACTATGCCTGAAACTTGAGGAGATATACATAATGGATAATTGCGAAAATCGTCCTCAATTTTACTCTCCATATCAAAGATCTTCCTCACATTGTAAGACGCATATTTAGCATATCTTTAATAAAAAAAAAATAAAACTCGTTTGCTCTCGTGCACGCCCAAAATCTACACCAAAACCTCTCTCGCACTCTCTTTTCTTGCCCTTTCTCTCTCCTCACTCACAGCAGCACAGCACGACGATGATCGAAAGCTACCCCCCACAGCATCGAGTCGCTGCTCAATGCCACAGCCCGACCCTAATGCTGACAACGACACCCTCATCCTGCCCCGCAACCCCCGCCCCTCTCCCTACATCCATGGGTTTGTCGATCACGAGACCGTTCACGGCCCACCACAGAGAGGCCGCGTGAACCAACGGCTTGCGATCGCTGAGGCCGTGCGAGGTTTGCCTCGAGCTCAGGAGGCCCGCAGCTGGCCACAAGCCTCTATGACATGCTTGCGAGCCACTCAAGCTCTTTGACAAAGCTAGGCCATGGTCGCGCAGCCTCATCTAGCCTTGAGCTATCGTGGCAACTGTCGCCAACCTCGGATCTAAGGTCAGCAACGGCCACCGAAGGCAGAACGACGATGTGCGTGGTGGAGAGGAGAAGATTTTTAGTAAACCAGACATACACTTTTTCGATTAGATTATGAAAGAAATTTTTAATTTAAGGGAAGAACTTGCACGGTCTAACTTGCTTTTCGTAAAAATTACACATCAAAGTGCATGTATACAATGAGTTCCATCAATTAGTATTGAACTTCACTAATGTCAAATATGAGGTGTTGTGGAAAAATAGAGCCTCTTGGATGTCCCCTCTACAGTGGATGGTTTCTTCTTCTTCCCTTTCTCAAATGTTGCGAAAATGGTGGAAGTTATGGAGGTAGGGGTGTGGGATATTGCAGGCAAATCATTGTTTTTATATTCGATTAGAAAGAGCAAAGATGACCTATGTGCTTGTCTGGGTCCGACAATATAATGTTCCTCATGTTCTGTGGACCAAAACAGGTTTAAATTACGTGTGTAGTGTTCTTGGAAAACCTTTATATATGGACTCAGCCGCAGAATAAAAACCGCGGTGTTGATACCTAAATTTTGGCTAACCATTTAGAATAAATTGCATAGAAAATAAGGTATTAATTTTTAACCTCTAAACAAAAATATTAAAATTAAATTGCATAGCATATAGTTTTTAGCAGCATATAGTTTAATTCATTAATTGCATTTTAATCACCAGCGGTGGTGAATGGGGGACCACAACAAGTGAAATTTGGCCAGCATAAGAGAGAGGGAGAACCGAGTTTCAAACCCATGATTAAGGGGTATTGAGTTTTAATAGAGTTGGGTTAGCCCATAAAGCTATTCAAGTTTGATTAGAATAAGCCCTAAAGAGTCGAAGCATATCAATATTAGGCCCAGAGGGGCAATTTCCGACCATGGGCAACCTTAGATCTAGTATGGCCCATGGCTAATGGGCGACGCCTTCTGACCAAAAAACAAAAAAGGGCGACGCCTGGAGTTGATGGCACGAGAATGAGAGTTGATGACAATGGCAGCGCTAGGGGGCTTGGGATAGAGGCCGACAACCGAAGATGGAGGAGAGAGAGTAAGAATGAGGAATTGGGGTTTGAAGAACAAACGAACGAATTTAATGAACTTATCCCCAATTCACTAATTTAGGGCAAATAAATATGAGATGCAATTTATCCCGTAAATCGTTATCACTGAACCAAAAGTTTCATCGTAATGCAGACCGTATTACTATGAGAATCCTCGTGTCACTAGGCGAGCCTTATCCCTTTCTCAGCTACTGTCTTAATAGTTGTGAATTCCGATTCATGCGATCGTTTTCGGCTGCATTGGTGTTTTCACTCCCCACTCTCCACCATGACAATATGTTTCCACTCTATCTCAGGAGTAGTCAAAGGAAGGGTCACAGTAGGAAAAAATGCACTAAGAATAAGAAGTAAGACATAATGGATCAATTCATTCGACAGGATCCGTTCTCCTCATCTTTCATCAACACCCCAGCCAAACTCTTTGGTGGGCTTGGCTATTGAACGTGGGTCTCTTGCCGCTCCCACCAATTTCATTACCTCCCTCGTGCTTTGAAGAGGATACCTCTGGTTGTCACTAGTAATATGGGGTTTGAGCTGTTGGACACCACAATTATCCTAACTTTTGTAAGATGCTCATTTGAGTACCATAATTTTTTTTTCATTTGCTTGAGTGTCATAATTTTTGTACGGCGTTCACTTCAATGTCTGATTACTTAATTGTTATATAACTTTTCAATCGATCACTCAAGTACCATAATTATTTAAAAACCGTTCACTACAAGTGTCATACCATATCAAATTTTCATCACTTGAGTAAACGTTTTTTTATAAGTTATGACACTCAAGTAAACGTTTTTTTTAAGTCATGGCACTCAAGTAATCAAAAAAAAGATATAGCACTCAAGTGAGGATCATACGAAAATTATGGCATTTGTGATGTCATTATCTTATTTCGTTAGTTCTCTCGGCAAGTTCTTTAAGAAACATGGATGATTCTTGGTATCTTTAACTGAAATCCTCGCATATTAATAAAGTAAAAAAAAAAAGAATTGACGTCCAATGGGGACAAAAATTTAAGTCTAATGTGACTCTTTGCTAGCTAACCACGTTGAATTGTTTAGCCACTCAAATCAACAATGTCATTGAAGTGATGGATTTTTTACCAAATCGACATTCAAGTAATCACTAGAAAAGTTTTGACACTGAAATAAGCACCATATAAAAGTTATAATATTTATAATGTCGTTTTCCACAAAACTGTCGTTAATCTTTTAAAAGTTTTGTTTCCTTTATAAATTATAAAAAATAAGGTCATTTCTATCATTTTACATAAACCATAAATACACAATTGCCTATAATCTTTGTTTTCCGATTCGCGATACACAATAAGATAATTTGCTTATTCATAAATTTTAGACAAGTTTCGAGTAAGTTGCAAGTACCCAACTATTTAAGTAAGTCGGGTTTGGGAATTCATAGCAAAACCCATTCTATCCCTTTTTGTGTGGATCATATTTCCAAAAAGAGTACCTTGACGATGAGAGGCTAGTCTTACTCTATTTTTCCGACTGATGTAGTGCTTTCAGACATTCGTAAGGACTCGGTCAATCCATGCTTGCCAACCTCAAGATGATTGTTCTTGTGGCGAATCCTGGAAATTTCAATTCACAAACTCATTTTCCACTTCACATGGGACGCTAGATGTTTAAAAAAGATTGAGTAAACATTTTTCTCACAATACGCCTCGATCGACATTAATTTATTCTACACAACCTTATCCAAAAATCATTGAGTGGATAGTGGCATCTGAGTTTCTCACCTAACCAAGCACATGACCACACGATCCCACCTACATTTATCGCTAATAAAGAAGACATACAAAAACGAGTGGTCGACAAATGAATCGTCTGACGTCTGCTAACAGCAACAAATAATTGTTTCATCTACTGTAAAACCTCTTTCAGCATCTATTTGGCAAATCATCTATAGTCTCCTCATCATCCAAGAACGCCCTGTAGCGATGAGTACACCACAACCTCCTCATATAGCTCTGTTCCCTAGTGCGGGAATGGGCCATTTGATACCATTCCTCCGGCTCGCGGCAATGCTGGAGAAGCAAGACAGCATCGTTACGGTCATTGCAGCTCGACCCACCGTGTCCATTGCCGAGTCGGACCACCTATCCTCATTCCTTCGCCACAATCCCAAAATCAATCATCTTGAACTCCAGCTTACTCCTAGCTTCCGGCGAGCTGATTCTGCTCCTGTTGACCCTTTCCTTCTCCAGATGGATCTCATCAGTCAGTCAATCTTTCTTCTCCCTCCACTGTTATCTTCATCATCTCCACCTTTTTCCGCTATATTTGTGGACTTCCTTCTAGTTGCCGAGATTGCTCCATTTGCTAAAACCCTTCAGCTTCCTATTTATGTTCTTTCCACCACCTCAGTCGCTTTCGTCTCCCTCACGGCGTACCTTCCGGTGCTGGCATCAAACCCAGCTGAGTTCAACAAAACTTCCACTGAAATCAAGATACCAGGATTGCCACCCATGGCAATGTCAAGCCTCCCACCGGTATTCCTTGATTCCAGTCATCTTTTTACGTCAATCATTATTACAAACTCTCAAGCTCTATCAGACGCCAAAGGAATCTTGATGAACACTTTTGATTGGTTCCAACCATCTACACTTGCCGCTCTCAACAAAGATAGGGTGATTAAAAGCCTGCCGCCCATTCTGCCTATAGGGCCATTAGAACCATGTCATGTTCCACATGACCATAATGGGGATCAATACAGGTCATGGCTGGAGAACCAACCAGCTGAATCTGTGGTATACATTAGCTTTGGGAGCAGAACGGCAATGTCCAGAGATCAGATACGAGAGTTGGAAAAAGGGTTGGAGAAGACGGGGTGGAGATTCTTCTGGGTTCTAAAAACCAGTAAAGTGGATAAGGATGACCAAGCGGATGCGGAACACTTTTTGAATGAATCCTTCTTGGAGATAACAAAGAATAAGGGGTTGGTCATAAAAGGGTGGGTGGACCAGCAGGAGATTTTAGAGCATCCCGCCATCGGAGGGTTCTTAAGTCACTGCGGGTGGAACTCGGTTATGGAAGCGGCTCTACAGGGAGTTCCAATGCTTGCCTGGCCGCAAGATGGTGATCAGAGGTTGAATGCAGAGGTCATGGAGGATGCAGGATTGGGACTGTGGGAGAGGAACTGGGATTGGGGTCCCAATGGTATTGTGCAAGGAGAAGAGATTGAGAAGAAGATTGTAGAGTTGATGACAGATGAGAAGCTGAGAGAGAGAGCCAAGATGGTGAGAGAAGAGGCTAGGAAGGCTGTTGGGAGTGGTGGGAGCTCTGATAAGGCGATCAGAGAAGTAGTTGAATCGTTACATTTGATTCTAACAAGGTAGTTTGCTATCCGGAGAAATTGTCACATCGAACTAATCTATGAAGTAAACTAAAGAGTGTTTCCTTGTTGAATATTTGTATTGCGTGGAACTATGGTTTTGATATTAATAAAGATTTTTTATTAGTGATGTGTAAGTGTATATGTGTTGGACATATTTAGTAAAGGATGAACAAAAGACAATGCACGATAGTTGAACGGGTAAAGGCTTATTATGAATGGGATAGAGAAAATATTGTTTCACTAGTTTAACAAAATGGTGTTACATAGTTGTAGGATGAGATGTTAGTGTTAGGCCCCATTTGGTTCAACATTTGAAATAAGCATTAGGGCTCACAACACCGCTCGCCACTTCGCCGCTCGCCTCTCTTCCCTAAAGATATGCTGGTTTTTACGATTTTTGGATAACTTCATGTTGAGCATAACTTGAAAGAGCTTGATTCCTCTACCTACTGTTTGTTGTTCTTGATGAAGTTCTTAAGCGACGAATTGAGAGTGTGTTGTTATCGGAAGTATTATTACTGATTCGCTTTGCTCAAATCGATTCTATCTGTTCGATTGCTTATGTGCTTTGCTTGGTATTCTCTGTATTGGTATGAAAGGATGACCCAAAAACTGACGCAAATTCTCGAAAAGTTTGTCTTTTTGGGTTTCTAGTGCATGAGTAGTTGTGGAAGATAGAGAACCATGCTCCACATTAAATTTCACCTCATGTAGAGTGAAACATATGCTGCCAGCTGTAAACTCTTTGTCCTCTGTGATGATGTTGTAACTTCTGAACACGAGAATGGGCTTGAATACCATAATGGAGTAGGATGGTACTATTGTGTGGAGCTAAATTGAGGATCATGAAGGTCACTCCAAGGTTTTTCTTCAAATTTATATGTCAACTCATTTGTACTCAGTTTCAGTATGAGCAATCTTTGTATATGGGATTTGGGGTTGGGTTATGTTGTGTTGGTGACAAGCGCTTCAATTCCTTAAAACAAGCAAACATGCTTTCAGTATTGTGGAGCAGGGTGAAGTAGAGAACTTTTTGCTGAACTTTTTGCATACTTAAATCTGTTCTTTAGTGCCATATTTTGTCCCTCATTTTGTATGTGAATTCTTGCATATAGAACTGAATGCTTCATGTTCGGCATGAGGTACCCTGTTGCATATAAAACTGAATATTCTCCTTGCATCCTCTCATTCTATTTTAGAATCGGAAGTGGAAGAAAAAAGGGACAAAATTAGGTGTACTTAATTGCTTTGTTGATGTTTGCAAGTGCCCTTGCAGGCACGCATGGGAACAGATCAATGTGCTGAGAGGAGAAGCAGAAGCAAAATTACCTATCGGAAGCTCCTGAGCAGAGATCAAGTGGTACCCAGATGCACTTGATGTCTTCATCGAATGATTACACACCTAAATAATACTTCTGATCCTGCAAAAAAACCAACCTTAAGTTGTTGACTACAAAGTCAAAGTCATTGATTAAATGCTATATGTTTGTAGGGGTTTTCGTATAGAAATAAAGAAAATGACTCTCATGTTTCGTTTGTAAATGAATTTCACCTTCCTGAATGAGTCAAATTACACGGCCTCGACCCAATTGTCCTAAAAAAATCCACACTTGGTGGTTAAATAGTGACAGAGCAACGTACAATGTCTTGCAACGTTTTTGGGAGCCTTGAATTTCCATGTAAAACTACAAAAAGATTGTGCCCGTGGAGTGTGATTCACCATTTCTTAGGAAAGAAGTAGCATTTACGTAGCAATGAGACGATTCGTGCTGGCTAAATAGAGACGGGGCGAGCACCTGCACGTTACATTCCTTCCTTAGCTATTACAAGAAGCACATGTTGCCTGTTAGGAAGCAGATAAATAAACTCTCTTTTTTTAATGGGGGGGGGGGGGGGGGGGGGGGGGGGGGGGGGGGGGGGGGGGGGGGGGGGGGGGGGGGGGGGGGGGGGGGGGGGGGGGGGGGGGGGGGGGGGGGGGGGGGGGGGGGGGGGGGGGGGGGGGGGGGGGGGGGGGGGGGGGGGGGGGGGGGGGGGGGGGGGGGGGGGGGGGGGGGGGGGGGGGGGGGGGGGGGGGGGGGGGGGGGGGGGGGGGGGGGGGGGGGGGGGGGGGGGGGGGGGGGGGGGGGGGGGGGGGGGGGGGGGGGGGGGGGGGGGGGGGGGGGGGGGGTTATAGTCAAATTTGTATGAGATGAGATATCACAATACTTTTGTGCAAGCTACGATCAAATTTGTAGGATGTGATTTTTTTTATATAAATTTATTAATATGTATCTTTCACATTCCTCTCAATGCGAAAATATAAAAGTTGTGGTCATTGTTTCTTTTTTTCAATTTTTAAAATATAAAAATTAAAAAACTTAATTTGGTCATATTAAAGAGTTTTCCACATATATGTTTACTAAACAATCTTATATTTTTCCAAAGCCCTTTTCAGTTATAATTTATCAAATAATATTTACATTTTTTTCGAAACCTTTTAGACTAAATATCTTTATATTTGGCAAAAAAAATAATTCAAATATCGAACTAAACGTGACCTTAGAATGGTGAAAAAGTACAAGGGGTATGGAATTTATTCTTTAAGGTTGCAGGCTGTACGCTTGATTGGACATTCCTTGTCTACTTTCTCGATTCTTCTTTCCTCATGATTAAGTAGTCTTATTTTATATTTAATTTCTTCCAACTTGGTGCTTGCTTGTTGCCCACGTTTATGCTCTTCTCCTGCCATCGCCATTCTCAACAATTCTAGAATTGACCACTTCCCGAGAATTATAGGGAATGAGAAAATGGATAACAATTTTCAATACTTCCTTCTTTTGACATGTCTTGTGATGTTTCGAACGTATCTTAAAATTTTTTATTTAATCTGTCTCATGTTTTTCAATATTTTCGTCCCACGTTCTCTTACATCCTTTTGTTTAAACACTTGTGCTCTCCTTCGAATCAGCATATCTTTTTTTCAATGATGTTTCATGTCTTGGGCCATTAAATTGCTCTTAGTTGTAATTGTTTTCATCGAAAGTAGAGATGGGTAATTTTTGTGGAGCACGTTTGCCATAGTTTTTGTTATAATATTAACGAACACGGAAGCTAACACGGATCTTACAAATTAAGTTAATGCAAAAGTATTAGAGAAAATACACGATGAACGATAAAGGACACCCGATATTTATGTAATTCGATCCGAGTATCAGTATCTACATCCACGATGAGAGCTAGTAGTAAATAATTAAATAATAATCGGATAGTCAAAGTTTATAATCGTTCACTCACACGCTCAAGTGTTTTTCACACCTAAAATAAACACAAACCCAAGTATTTACAAATAAACAACTCATAATGGAAATAAAAACTCACAGCACTAATTCATCGCATGTCCGCTGCTCTCTTACCGCAAAGGAACGTGCAGCTCCTGCTATTTTCGAGAGCTACTGTGCGGCTACTTTCACACACAAAGGAACCCCACTCAATTCTTCATGGGCGGCTCCTCAGGGAGAGCTACTGTGCTCTCCTTTGAAAACCCACACCCCTCACCGTTTGGCTTTTCTTCAAGACACAAAGAATAGGATTAATATCACGAAAAATTTCAAACTGATACACTTATAACATATTTATCTCAAATTAATTTTTAGACAATCAAAAACCCCAAACTGGTACACATGTATCAAATTTACCCTAAACTAATTTTGTTATTATAAAAAATCACAAACTGATACACTTATAACAAATTTACCCTCCGCAAAATTAGATTAATACCACAAAAAATCAAAAATTAATAAACATGTGACAAATGGAGAGGTAAAATCCCAAACTTGTACATTAGTCAACTGTTACATATTATCCAACTCAGCAATTTGACGATAAAATTTAATAGAAACTAATTAAGGGTAAATTTGTCATAGGTGGACCAGTTTGCAATTTTTTATGATTAAAAAATTAATTTTTAGTAAATTTGTCAAAAATATACCAATTTATAATTTTTCGTGATAATATTCCTAAGAGATAAAAGAAATGGGCGGCCACACTTAACAACACTTGATAATGACATTTTTGCTCTACAAATAATATATATAAATTAAACAAATGTATACCCCTCTTCTTTGTCTTCTAGTGCCATGGAGTCCCTTCATCTTTGTTTTCACCGTATAAGAAGCTCTCATCATTGAATGTATTTATTTGTCAAACTTGGATATTCATCCGATCAGGTCGGGTTCCATAACGGCTCAAATTAACAATTTTCTACCTTGACTCGACATTTGAAGCTAAGTCATAATACTTATTAGTCATGCTGCTCTCCCAACGCCCTCACTCTCCACAGACCCAAATGGAGCTCAAGCAAATAGCTTCACCAAAGGAACGGACTTAGTCATAATGTCTGTCGAGTTCTCCGCTATAGCGATCTTTCTCAAAATGACCATACCCTTTGTTAAGACATATCGAATAAAACGATACCTAATGTCGATATGCTTCGTTTGCTTGCAATAAATTGGATTATATGCCATATATATCGCACATTAATTATCACAGTGTATATCAACACTTTTCTATTCTAATCCAAACTCTGAGAGCAAACCTCGTAACCATATCGCCTTCTTCATTATAAAAGTTTGTGTCATATACTCTGCCTTAGTCGAAGACAAGGCAACATGTCTTGTAAAGACGTATCCCAACTCACTGCACCACTTGTTAGCATAAACATGTACTCTACTAAAGACATGCATTTATTCAAGTCATCGGCGTGATCCGAATCCACATAACCAGTTATCTCACTGCCATTGTTGTTCCTGCGGTATACTATATTTACATCTATTGTCCCCTTCAAATATCTAAGTATTCACTTCATAGCTTCTCAATTAGTTTTACTAGGCTACTTCATAGAATGGCTAAATACACTCACAATCTATGAAATGTCATGTCTAATTCATACCATAACATACATAATATTATCCATTGCACTACAATAAGGAATACTGGACATGTGCTCCTTCTCATCCTTAGTCTTGATAATAGAAATATAGTTGGGTGTTTTTTTTATAGAGGTTGCTAGAAAAATGTCCAATATCAACCCAACGACACCCTTGAGTGTTTTTTATAGACGTTGGTTAGGACAAATGCCCAATACCAACCCAACAACACTCTGACTTTGGCTCTGGCTCTCATTTCGGCTCTGACTTTGTTGGATCTTACTTGGGTTCAAGCTCTAACTCTAGCTTTGATTTTAGTTAAGGATGGTGAGAACAAACACATAAAATCACCCGAATGTGCCTGACTCTAATACCACCGTTAATTTTTGGTTTAAATGCTAGTATATGGGAAAGGATTAAGCAAAGAAACAAGGATGAATGCATGAGAGGTTATTGTTGGCAAGGGAGCACAAGGAAAGCGAAAACTTTTATTATTTAGCGAGTACTACTAAGGGAAGGGAAGGAGCTAAGTCTATTGGTTTGCCACGTCTAAGATTGGACGTCTACCGAGCCCCATTTATAGGCATACGTTACTGCCTCTGCACCAAATATCTTTGCATGTCAGAGAGCCCCATTTATAGCCGTACATAACTGCCTCTGCACCAAATATCTCTGCATGTCAGAGAGATTCTCTGCTTTCATCCTTTTCAACACAATACTAGAGACTTTAACGCTATACCTAGAAATTTCTTATGTACGCTAGACTTTTCTAGACATATTCTGTAATTCAAAAAATTGGATCAATTATTTTAACACTCCTCCTTGATTCAGTTTTTGCAATACTCCAAGCATGCTTCGTGACATCTCAAACTTGGTTGGTGATGGTACTGTAGTGAATATGTCCGCTACCTGATCCTCGGTCTTGCGATATTTGAGCTCGATCTCTTCATTAGAGGAGACAAGTTTTGTAGCGATTTTGAACATAAAATATCATATGTAGACAAGGGAATCGATAACTTCACTTCAAATAAAATTGAACATATACAAATTGTGCCGAAATTTAATTGACGACAAAACTTAAGAACATAATCACTTTAAACAAAAGCAAACGTGCACAAGCTATGCTAGAATTTAATTGACGACAAAGCCTGAGAATATAAAGATGCAACACAAAATTTAATCCACGACAAGGCAGCCAAGATATACAAGAAAGATACACATCGCAATTTAATCGATGGCACGGAACTGGAATCTCCAGTTAAGAGAAACATGTTGAAATTTAATCAACAATTCAAATATGAAAACTACAACAACAGTGCAGGGATTAAAAGATAATTGAAATATAAAATGTTTATTTATTTGTGCGCAGGAAAGGGGGAGGGAGGTCTCCAGTGGATGAACGCTAGTATTTATAATGCTCATGACATAACCATTTGGGAGCGGTCCTCTTGCGGTTATAGTCACGTGTCACAAATTGGAGATTTTGTGACCTAACCAACCGAAGAAATAGCCCAGATGATCAACAAGACTTGAAGTATCTTAAGCTCTAAGGTTTTTCATGAGGATTCTAGAATACTG